TTTTTTTTTTTTTCGCCCGAAGCAATTAAAGGGCTACCTTATACGTAGGGAGGCGGAAAATGCATTACGCATACCACGATAGCCGGTCTATCGTGGTTATGAGGGGCTCACTGTCCTACCGGGGACCCTAAGTGATACCCTCTAAAAACCGCCTTTGGGGACAGGCAACCGGCTGATTAAGCTCTATTGTGCCTTATCATGAGCGACCCTCTTTTGGGAAAAGAGGGCGCAGGCGACTAAGAGCCGCTGAGGGAGTGCCTACGAAGGCAAATTAAAGTTCGTTAATACAATAATTTAGTTTAATTAGAGTTGGCCTGAGCCGCCAGGAGACAGTTCAGGTCGTTTGACAGTTTATTAGGCGGGTCCGAGAGAGAGTTTCTCGACCTGCGGACACGATAGCGAGAGGGCGGTGGGGCTGCATAAGAAGCTGCCTCACGAATTAATTGATTTGGGTGCGACTCTGAGACTTTGAAGTAGTTCTCTGAGAGTTTTTTAAGAAATTGTTGAAGAGCTCTAAGTCCCGATGAAGGTCGGCATTACGGACGTACCAAGGTGCGTTCACAGCTCGACGGCAGAAGTGGTTCTGAACTATTTGGTGTTCATTTATAATGTTAGGGTTTGCGTGGGCAAAGACGGGGCCCGCGTAGGAAGCACGACCGTTCGTGATCGCGACGGTAGATATAGTGTAGCGCTGCCCTTTAAAGGAGATGTTTTATCTCTCGGCGATTCGCGTCAAATGGCGGAAAAACGTTTCTACAGCTTGGAGCGTAGGATGCTCGCTTCACCCCAGTTAAAGGAAGCTTATGACGGCGTCATTAACGAATATATAAGAGAAGGTTACAAATTACTCGTGGCTTCGAAATTAGATAACTACGAAGACACATCGTCGTATTTCATACCACACCACGGGGTCATTAGGGAGGACAAACTTAAATCTAAGTTACGTGTAGTGCTCGACGCTAGTGCTGTCGCTTAACGATATCCTCTATAGAGGATATGGGCAAAATTTACAGGGCAGTTTATTTAATATGATAGCCAATTTTCGTTTGTTTAGTATAGCACTATCCGCCGATATTCGCCAAATGTTTCTTTGCATAGGGGTCCGTGAATGCGACCGTAGATTCCAACGCATTTTATATCGTTTCAACCCAAAGAAACCTCTAATGGTGTTTGAATTTAACCGCGTTTGTTTTGGTTTAAAGTCGAGCCCATTTCATGCGTTACGCACGGTGAAACAGCTCGCCCACGATGAGGGTCCCTCTTACCCTAAAGCTAAGAGGGCAATCGGATTATATATGGATGATTTTGTGTACTCGGTCGATAGCGTGGAGGAGGCCACCCTAACCACCGCCGAGGTTATAAAACTCACGAAATAGGGTCAATTCGATCTTGTGAAGTGGACTAGTAATACGCGTCCGGTTTTAGATACCATCCCACTATCACACCGTCTTTCGGCGATAAAGGAATTCGACGATTCCGATACACACAAGGTGCTCGGTCTGTGTTGGTCACCAGAGTCCGACGTGTTTAGCCTTATGGTAAATCCGCCCGTAGAGAAATGCACAAAGCGCACAATACTGTCATGCGTTGCTAGATTATGGGATGTCATGGGTTTCGTAGCTCCAGTGGTATTATACGCTAAGCTTTTGATTAAACAACTTTGGTTATTTGAATGCGATTGGGATGATTCGCCGCCTGACAGCATTGTTCGTTTGTGGCAGCGCTTTAGAGAGGAACTTCCTTTACTAAGAGAAATTAGAATACCGCGTCATATAAACGTCGATAGAAATAGCGTCATAACGGTCGTTGGGTTTGCAGACGCCAGCGAGAAGGCTTACGGGGGCGTTGTATATTTCCACGTTCAGAATAATGGTAGAAATTCGATTAGCCTCATTAGTTCTAAGTCGAGAGTCTCCCCCCGTAAGGTTGTCTCTCTGGCGCGCTTAGAGCTTTGCGCAATATTAGTACTCACCAAGCTTATTACCGCAGTTATCAGCGCATGTAGGGATAGAGTTCACATAGAAAGGATATTTGCCTTTTCCGACTCCACCGTCGCCTTATGCTGGGTTCATTCTTCACCCCACCGTTGGGATACGTTTGTCGCGAACCGAGTGGCCAAGATCCAAGACGAGTTGGAAACGCGGAACTTTTATCACGTGTCCGGTACGGAAAACCCTGCCGATTGTCTATCCCGGGGACTCACCCCGATGCAAATAATGGACCACCCGCTTTGGTTCCATGGACCTTCTTGGGTTCACTTGGATCCCTCACAATGGCCGATAACCGATTTCGAACCTTCGTCAGTGTCACAACCGCCGGAAGAGAAGAGACACGCTCTAGTGGCGAACGTTTCGAGCGAGGTTTCTCCAATCATTGCTTTGGCGAACCGCTTGTCCTCTTGGTCGAAATTATTGCGTAGCGTAATTTACGTTTGTCGATTCGCGAAGCTTTTACCGCAACGTTCGTATTTTTAGCGTCCGATTACAACTATGCCGAGTCGCTAGTATTACGTGAACTTCAACGTGCGCACTTCTCTGAAGAAATTACAAGATTACAATCGAATAGAGCTTGTAGTCGCGCCTTTCAACGCCTTAAGCCATTTTTACAGGATGGGATTGTAAGGGTAGGTGGACGCTTGTCCAACTCGCAGTTGAGTTTCGACCAACGGCACCCTACATTTTTACCGCGTAAAGACCATATCATGAACTTATTAGTCGATTACCATCATAAATTGAACTCGCACGCTGGCCCCGACTTGTTGATGTCAATTTTGCGTCAGAATTATTGGATTCTTTCTGCACGTAGTTTAATACGCAATCGGGTGCACAGATGTATAGCTTGCTTTCGGGCACGCCCCAAGCCGTCATTTCCGGAAATGGCGGAACTTAGATCTTGTAGAGTAATACAATCGGTAAAGCCCTTTACGCACACCGGGTCTGATTTCGCTGGTCCGTTTAAGGTCACGCTCACTCGCGGGCGTGGTATAAGATCCACAAAGGCTTACGTCTGCATTTTCGTATGTCTAACTACTCGAGCGGTGCATATAGAACTCGTTGGTGACCTAAGCACAGCAGGCTTTATGGGTGCATTTAAAAGATTTCTATCCCGTAGAGGCCCTGTAAGTAAATTATATTCGGATAACGGTACGAACTACGTCGGTACAAAACGTATTCTATCGGAACTACATGAGCTCTTAGCTAGCAAGTATTACAATTCGGAGTTCGCTCACATTCTAGCCGAGAACCGCATTGAGTGGTCTCTGAACGTCCCAGCCGCGACTCATTTTGGGGGCAATTGGGAGACTAATATTAAGAGTCTAAAGAGTCACTTATACCGAGTAATAGGAGATCAAATTTTGTCCTTCGAAGAGCTAAGTGCGGTGCTCGCTCAAATTGAATGCGTAATGAATAGCCGCCCACTTTGTCCTACATTGTCTAGTGACCCCTCGGAACCGCTGGCTCTAACTCCAGCACATTTTTTTGAATTTAACGCCTTTAAAGTATTTGCCCGCCGCAGATATGGATGAGAACAGACTTAGCATTTCCGCACGCCACAAATTATTAGACCGGTTAGTGCAATCGTTTTGGAAACGATGGAGGATGGAATACTTGCATACTTTGCAGTCTCGGCAAAAATGGAACACAGCGACTGAGCCTTTAGCTGTAGGAACTGTAGTTGTGCTCACTAAGGAGAATACGCCACCTCTCCACTGGCCGTTAGGAATTGTCGAAGAGGTCTTTCCCGGTTCCGACGGAGTAATTAGGATAGCTCGCGTTAAGACCACGGTTGAGTCTTACCTACGTCCTGTTGTCCGTTTGTGCCGCTTGCCTCTTCCATAATTTAAATTAGCTTTCTAGATTAAAATTGTAGTTGAATTTAGGTAATTTTAGCGTTAGTTAGTTATTTGTTAGTTGATCTTAGCTCTAGTTGTTTTAGTTATTTTTTGAAGGAGATCCTTCAAGGGCGGGGGGAGATGGTTGCGCGGAAAACCATTCGTATTTGTTTTATTTGACGGTAGGCTGCCAAATCGGTTATCCCTTTCCAAAACGATATCATTCGTACCCTCCTATCGACACATCGGGGTGGTGGGGTGGGAGGGGAAAGAAGATGATTCTAGAACATCACGTAATCATCGGAACCGAGGATATATAAGACACGCGCGACCGACGCGTGGCCTCTTCCCGCCGCGCTCATCGTTGCAACTACACCGCCTGGGATAATAGTGTCCTAAAGAGCTCTCTTCCCGCCGCGCTCGTCATTGGAACCACATCACTAGTAGAAACCGCTTTAGCCTGGAAGCAGTCGAGCTCCAGGAAACCCGCCTCACCTCGTGTGAGATATAGTCGCGCACCGCCCCTCTCCGGAGTGTATGTTCCAGAAGTCGCAGTTATAGTGCTCGACCGCATAGAAGAAACATCCCGGTGAGTCAATATCCAATATTATAACCTGCTTGATATAATCGTTTTAACCCGCTCCAATTTTGTGTTTTCCTAATCAAGCAGGATTCCTTTCATCGATTTGGCAAATAATTTGTTTTTTTGAGAGCGAGTGCATTGTACCGCATATATACGTGTAGAAGCATTTGTAGATACAGTCCACTTAGATTAATATCTCGCGTAATAGGTTTAAGGTTCGACCGGGGAACTAGACTTCGGCAGCCTTAAACACGTGGCTCCACCAAAAAGCATTATCAGCAGTGGCGCTAACGCTGACGCTAACGCTTTAGTACGAAAAAACTTAATAAATAAAATCTAGCTTTACTATATCTAAGGTTAAAAGAGTTATATACCATGCCAGTATACGAAAAACTATACCTACTAGGTTGGTATATAAAGTATATAGTACGTACTTAAATTGTACTGTTTCTTTAAACCAAGGAGTATATAACCAAATAGCATATAATCACTATGTTTATATATGTAATCACTGCTTTTTAGTTTGGACTTTATGAAACAAAATTAGACATTTTGATTTCATTTAATTGATTTGGCATTTTGGCAATGGCGAAATACAAGTTACGATTTAGGGACGTATCTAGTGGCTTACAAAAATTGAGAGATTTCCTACTTGGTAGGAAACATACTTTGCATGGACGTTTTCCTCCTACGTTAGCTCCGAGGACCATACCTCCTCCGGACATTCCTCGTGGTCCCGACTACAAGTACTCCAAGCAATACTATTTTAAAAGGAATGCATTGGACTCTGTAAAACCTCCGGTAGTAGCGCCCGTTGCTGAAGGTCGGCCATTGGCAAAGGGCACGGAGACCACAAAAAATTTATCAAATGGTAAAGTTGAAAATGTAAGTATTATGACCTTTGACTATATAGGGACATTAAGTAGCAAAATTGAACATTTATGTGGGTCTATACCCAGGAGGATGCTTTGTCATAAGTTATGGTTGATGTGTAAAAGCTAGTAATCCTTTCAAAATATTCCATTATTGTAATAAAATGATTTGTATTGCAATTAATATAAAGAAAAAAAGAAAGTTTGTAAGATAGACTCGATTCAGTTCCAGTAGAACTAGGACCCCTACAAAAGAGCGCATTACAAGCGTTTTCCCTAGAATAATTGAAATACAGAGATGTTGATTCTACAGTAGGACCGACAGTAAAGATAAATTTGAGTATAAAATGAAGTATAGAAAGTAAATAATATGGTATGGAAGGTATAAAAGGTAAGGTCAGTTCAACTGATCATTCCAACTGATCAGTTCAAACTAAAACAGATGATATTTTTAAAATATCTAATTTTCTATATATCGATAAATAAACTTAAATATAAAACTCCGATATTGATATATTTATAATTATCTATATATCGAAAATCCAATATTTTAATTGAAGTTTTAGTTTGAAGTGATCAGTTGGAATGATCAGTTGAACCGACCATGTATGGCGACCATAACGTGGTTCACTTAAAAAAAAAGTTATGAGAAACTAAAGAAAGGTTCTATGGTTTAGTTGAGTTTATTAATTTTTTTCGATTCGATCGACTTATTAGCCAAGCTGCTGAAGAAATTAGAACTGCCACCCGAGCCCTCCTTTCCATCAAGTCCGTGGCCTCCTCTAGCACACCAACATCTAACAGCGAGTTAGAGGATGAGATCCTCGCATGTATGAGGGAGGAGATTGCTAGTGTTAAAAAACTTGTCTCGGCCAATAAGCCCTCCTACGCATAAGCAGCAGCAGCGGCTCACGGGGCTTCAGCACCCACTGAGCCAACCGCCCCCCGCAACTCCCCACCAGCAACTAAACCGGCGATCATAGTTCGACCATCGAGGTTAAGACACGCCAGGAGGCTGTGGAATTATTTAAGAAAAATATTAATTATCGCAATGCCAAGTACGCACCGGCTCGCATTCAGCCTGTGTCTAACAATAAGGTGCGTGTCGAGTTCGACACGGAGGCCCAGCGCAATGACAAATGACGTAAACTGAAGTTAAGCCTGAACCCGTACGAAAACTTAGACCCATGGTCATATTAAAGGGCATCTCAAAGGATGTTCCAGCAGATGTTCTTACAAAAATTATTAGACAACAAAATGTGGAAATTAGCGAAATTATCAATGATGATGGTGAGGGCCTAAGCTAAGATTCAAACGGGACAATAAGAACAATAACCTCTATAACGTGGTTCTTCTAGTTGATCCTAAGTTATACAGAAAAATGTTAACAATGGGTCGTATCAGCATCAATTATCAGCGCGTCCATGTTGCTAGTTTCTCGCCGTTCCTCCAGTGCCATAGGTGCCTACAGTTCGACCATACAAAACTAAGGTGCACTGTGTACCAAAGCTCCTGCTCCGTGCTCGCACAATGTGAGTAAATGTCCTAACAGGGATAAGCCCAATACCACAAAATGCATAAACTGCCACACACACAATACGCGTGTTAACGACAAACTGGACACTAAACACACGGCTAACTCCAACACCTGCCCACGTTTGCAAGCCATGAGGGAGAAGATAAATAACATACATGACACTCAGAAACATACTCGAACATGACATTTCTATCCTGAACGCCAATGATCTGGATCAGGTCATCGACGAATTAACCAATGTGATCCACTCTGCATGTCAGGTCAGCATGCATGTCAAAGGCCGGGGAACAAAGCCCAAGGCTCCTTGGTGAATGCAGGAGTTGAAGACCCTCAAGCGGGAGGTGGTGGATTTACGCCATCAGCTCCACGCCGCCAAGCGGCAGGGTATTCCTCTGGAACATATCTTAGAAACGAGGAAACAAAAAAAAGAAAATATACGCCAACAAGATGCGTGAGGAGTCAACCAGGCATTTTAGTGAGTTTTGCGAATTGCAAACTAAGGAAAATGTCTGGTCACTCACGAAAAGACTCCTCAAAAATGCTACCCCTAGGCGCCCACCAGTCACCCTCAATAGGGGCTTCACCTATATCACAGACAGCCAGGAGACTGCCAAGGCATTCCTTGACCACTTCTACCCTGATGACTCACCAGACATCTTAACGCGACATCACGAGCTCAGATCAGAAATTACCGACTTTCCTCAGTCAGTCAGTCCACGATGACCCTCCCTTCACCCAGGAGGAGGTGTTGGAGTGCTTAAAACAAATGAACCCCAAGAGGGCTCTCGGAATTGACAACTTCACATCCGACATATATCTGCAATTTGCAACAGATCACCCTAGACTTCTGACAGATGTACTGAACCGTTGTCTTATACTCCAACACTTCCCTGACCAGTGGAAAACAGCATATGTAAAGATTATCCCGAAACCGGGCAAGTCCGATTACAGCGGATTAGAGTTCTTTCGTCCAATACTCGTAGGACTTCTAGCTGTGTTTGGCAAACTGTTGGAAAAGCTTTTTATTAAAAGGATCGTATACCACGCGCAGCGAAACAATCGGTTAAACAAATTTCAGTTAGGTTTCCGGGGACAGACAAACACGTACGAAGTCATTAACACAGCTCTTAAAATAATTAAATTAGCCGAATCAGAAAAACAACTCAGCATCGCGAGGTATTAAAGCAGCATTTGATAACCCTTGGTGGCCTGCACTCTTCCACTGGTTGCGGCATATCCAATGCCCTAATATCTTTGGACACATCATCATTATGTCAACGATCTTTGGACACATCAGGATTATGTCAACGATCGGGATGTCATCCTCGACCATGCGGCGAGGCTAGCCACCAAGACGATGCCTAAGGGCTGCATATAAGGTTCCACGTGTGGCCCTGCTCTCTGGAATATCATACTGGACGAGCTGCTTGACGTGAGGCTTCCAGCTGGTTACCACATTGATGCCTTTGCGGATGATGTCTTGCAGGTTGTCACAGCCACGAGTGTCAGAGAGCTGGAGAGTGCTGCCAACTTAGCTCTCATCCATATAGTCGAGTGGGGCAGGAGCGTTAAGCTGGTCTTCGGTCCCACTAAGACTAAGCTAATCACCATCAGTACCAAGGCTAAGGTAGCCAGCATTAACATGGACGGACACCGTCTTTCCTTTGTGCCAGAGGTTAAACTGTTGGGTGAAAAACTAAACTTTGGGAAACACGTGAAACAATCAATAAGGCCGTGCGGATCTTCAACATGCTCTGCATTACTCGAGACCCACATGGGGAGCCCGTCCTGAGAACATCAGCACCATTTACCAACAAGTGATCGTGCCAACGATCACTCACGCTGCTGGAATTTGGGGACACATTGCCCAGAAAAGGTGCATCGGGAGGGCACTCGGGAGCATGCGGCGCGGATTTGCCATTAAGGCTATTAGGGGATTCCGCACGGTATCTTCATCCGCGGCCCTCGCATTAGCCCAGTTTGTGCCTCTCTGGACCTGAAAGTGCAGGAAGTTTGCGCTGTGGAAATGGCTTGGCTTCTGGGTACCTCTGACTATATCACCAGCGACATCCCACTAGAAAAACCAACTCTCGTCTCTGAACTCTTGCATCCTGCCCAACATATTTCCTTTATTCCTAAAATATTTACAAACTTCACATCTACAGAATCTGCATCTGAACAGACGACACATTTTATATTCACTGACGGTAGTAAGCAGGAAGACGGAGCAGTGAGAGCCGCTTTCGTGGACTATCTGCCTACTAATCTTAATCAAGTGGCTTACATAAAGAAGTTCAAATTGCACAACACATGTACAGTATTCCAAGCGGAGCTATTTGCCATTCTGCAGGCATGCAGGTGGATCAAAGAACACAAATATACACACACAGTCATCTAAAGTTAAAGTAAAGTTACATCCTATATACGTCCCACTGCTGGGCACAGGCCTCACCTCATTTCTGAGGGGGTTTACAGTCATCTATCTATACAGATTCACTCTCATCTATACACGCTATACAAAACAGAAGCAACACATACCCCATCATTGCACAAATACACAAAACTATACACGAGTACCGAGAACAGGCATCATAGAATTGGGATGGGTCAGGAGTCTGCCAGTAAGAGCCAACTGTCAAAGCTGAAGACTGAGTGTGCAGGATCGTTTCCGGGACACCTGAGATTCTGAGTGAGATTGAGAGGTTCTATGGGCAGCTGTACACATCATCGTTGGAGCCACACGCAAGTGTGAGTAACGATCCAAGAGCAAGTCTTATCCGACACTATTCCGATGATATCCCGGACGTCAGTCTGAGCGAGATTAGAATGACTCTCCAGCACCTTAAAAACGGCAGGGCCCCAGGTAAGGATGGAATTACAGCGGAGCTTCTGAAAGCGGGTGGAACATTGGTACTTGAAGTCCTTCAGAAGCTCTTCAATTCCGTCCTCCAAGGTGGCACTACTCCGGAGGCGTAGAGCAGAAGTGCGGTGGTCTTGTTCTTCAAGAAAGGTGACAACGCCCTCTTGAAGAACTACAGACCGATATCCCTTCTGAGCCGCGTCTACGTGCTGTTTTCGAGAGTCATTACGAATCGTCTCGCACGCAGATTCGACGACTTCCAGCCTCCCGAACAAGCCGGTTTCCGAAAAGGCTTTAGTACCGTAGACCACATACATACCCTTCGGCAAATTGTACAGAAGTCCGAAGAGTACAATCTGCCACTTTGCCTGTCGTATGTGGACTATGAGAAAGTCTTTGATTCCGTCGAAATATGGGCGGTGCTACAGTCTCTTCAGCGGTGCCAAGTTGACTGTCGGTATATCGAAGTCCTGAAGTGTTTGTACAGTAAAGCTACGATGGCTATCCGAGTACAGAACCAGAGTTCGAAACCTATCCAACTGCAGAGAGGTGTAAGACAGGGTGATGTTATATCCCCGAAACTCTTCACCGCTGCCTTGGAAGACGTTTTCAAGCTACTGGACTGGAAAGGATACGGTATTAACATCAATGGCGAGTACATCACTCACCTTCGATTTGCCGACGATATAGTCCTTATGGCAGAATCGCTGGAGGACCTTAGCACTATGCTCAATGATACTCCCACGGATAGGTCTTATGATGAACATGGACAAAACAAAGATCATGTTTAATGTCCATGTCACACCTATGCCGGTAGTTGTTGGGAGCACTATGCTCGAAGTTGTTGAGGAGTACGTTTACCTGGGACAAATAATCCGACTAGGTAAGTCCAACATCGACCGAGATGTCAATCAACGGATTCAACTCGGCTGGCAGCGTTCGGGAAATTACGACACATCTTCTCGTCAGGTATACCTCAATCTCTGAAAACTAAAGTGTATAACCAGTGCGTGTTGCCAGTGATGACTTACGGATCTGAGACGTGGTCCTTCACTGCTGGCCGTATGAGGACGCTAAAGGTCGCTCAGCGAGCTATGGAGAGGGCTATGCTCGGAGTTTCTCTGCGTGATAGACTAAGAAATGAGAATATCCGCAGTAAAACCAGAGTGACCGATATAGCCCAACAGATTAGTGAGCTGAAGTGGCAATGGGCCGGCCATATAGCTCGAAGAACCGATAACCGATGTGGAAGAAAGGTTCTCGAGTGGCAGCCTCGTACCGGTAGGCGTAGTGTAGGGCGACCCCCCACTAGATGGAGTGACGACTGTACGAGTATTGTTATCACTTTTATTTTTTTTCTCTGATGTGGCGTGTGGTTTGCACGAGGCTGAAAACACAAGAGTATTTATGTTAAACAAATTATAATTTTACTAGAATAATAACTATGTGTAAAAATTTCAAACTCTTAACAAATTATATTAATATAAAGAGAAGGCATACGCAATGTGTATCAAATAGCAGAAAAGTGTAGCCTTCTTCATGTGCCATAGAAATAAGTGATACGTTGTTTAAAAAGTCAACAAAACTGTGGAAACTGACAATATACTCTTGTCGGTGGGGGTGTACCCACCGGCGGAAACCATAAAAAATGTTAATAATGAGGTACATAAATAAATATAAACTTTGATTGATTTTTAAGCCACATTCATTTTTGTCGTAAGTCCTATTATTAATCATGAGACCTAAAAGTTCCAGAATACAATGGTTTCTGCTTTATAGCTTCTGGTTTTTATACCTTTGTCGCTTATTAAAACATAGCGGGACGATATGGGTTAGTGGATATTCTTACAACGTACATAAATATTCTGAATATCCGTGATCATCAATTCGCCTGATTAATTATTCTTAAAATAATACTTACTGTGGTAGAAATCAAGTCATGCTGTGGACTGTTACAGGCTGTAGAGCAATTAATACGCAAAAATCGAACCTGCTGGGATTCAATTGGTAACCAGCTGCTCTGAACGCATAGCCTTACGGCCTTTATCTAAATAATATATTTAAGGACTTCTATTTTACTTATGAAACTGCCGTTTTGTTGAACTGACCACTTTGAATTGTAATAGCTACTTACGATTTGACAGGAATACTAAATTCAAATAAATTTTACATTTAATTTGTTGTCTATTTGTTTCTTTGGATTTTCTTTTATTTTCTGCAATATCGATAGGAATATTTATAATCATGGACTTTTTATAAATTCTAGACTATAATCATGGTCAGCAGTACGGCTGATGATGATTGTGATTTCTTCAAGGGCATCAATAAACTGTCACTGTGTAGGCAAAGAAGCATCGATTGATTAGTTGATTACTTTGATTAATAGAAATAAAAAATATAGAAAAAAATACGGTAACTTATTTCACAAAAAGCGGCAATTTCGTCGCTAAAGACCTAATATATACTGATTTTAAAAAATATATAAAAAACTAATTATTAGAAGTATAATTATCAAACTATTTTACAGGTTTGCTTTGAAAGCGTCCCAACGCCTGGTCCCTCGTGGTGGTGGGACGGCCACTGCTACTATGATTGCACTTCCGACTCTCCGAAAACCGGGCAATCGTCTAACTCTTCATGTACTGTCGCTCCCCCATGTGGTTTGAACCAAAATCGGACAGAAACATGTGAAGCAAGTCCGAAATGTAAATAACAATTTTGTAAATAAATTTACAATTCAAATAAATGTCAATAATTAATACAATACTAAATTCAAATACTTGTTTAAGTTTTAGTTTATAATTTTTTATTTTCTATCCGAGATGATATCGAATAAAGTATAAAATTTAGTTTAGTAGAAAACAAATACAATACAAAGTTACTAAACATCTAGCCTTCGCCTTAGGAATGTCACTAAACATGGCCCCAAGCCACCAGCATCCATCGACTTCCTGCCTGTGTAACCAGCTCGTCACTCCATCTAGTGGGTGGTCGCCCTAAACTTAGCCTACCGGTACGAGCAAGAAACTTTTTCCCCTTTTTCTTCATGTTATATGGCCGCCCATTGCCACTTCAGCTTACTAATTCATTGGCTATGTCGGTCACTGTGGTTCTAAACCAGAGCATAGCCTTCTCCATAGTTCACGGAGTGACCTGGAGCTTCCTCATACGGCCAGCAGTGAAGGACCACGTCTCTGTTTTCATAAATCATCACTGACAACACGCACTGGTTGTACATTTTTAAGTTTAGAAGTACATATATACCTGACGAGAAGATATATCGTAATTTCCCGAACGCTATATAGCCGATTTGAATCAGTCGATTGACCTCACGGTCAAAGTTAGACTTGCGTAGTCGGACTATTAGTCCCAGGTCCCTACAACTACCGGCATAGGTGTGACATGGACGTTACACATGATCTTTGTTTTGTCCATGTTCATCTTAAGACCTATTCGTTGGTAGGTACCATTGAGGTCATTGAGCGTAGTGCTTAGGACCTCCAGCAATTCTGCCATACGGACTATATCGTCGGCAAATCGAAGGTGAGTAATGTACTCGCCATTAATATTAATACCGTATCCTTTACAGTCTAGTGGCTTGGAAACGACTTGCAATGCAGCGGTGAAGAGTTTCGGGTATAGATTGTCATTCGATAGGTTTCGTACTGTCGTTCTGTACTCGGATAGCCATCGCAGCCCTACTGTACAAGCACTTCAGCACTTCGATATACCGACAGATAATTTGGCACTGCTGAAGGCTGACTGCAGCACCGCCCAAATTTCTACGGAATTAAAAGCTTTCTCATAGTCCACATACGCTAGATGTAGTGGCAGATTGTACTCCTCATTTTCGAATCCAAGTGTTGGAGAGTAATTGTTTTGCAATGACAATAAATAATGCTCAGTGCATGCAGGCGCAGATCTAAAGTTTGTTTGTAGGGGATCAGACGCGTCCTCTAAATTCTTACCTTACTACGGTTTCTAACCCTTAATCGGGCATCACAAATGTGATAGTTATAGAAGTGAGCAGACTTTCGTATGTTGTTTTTAGTGGTTCCAGAAGTCGAGCATTTGTTTTCTTTTTTTTACTTTTGGTTTTTTTTTTTGGAAATTTATGTGGGAGCTATTCTACCATTGCCCAAGTAGAGCGACATTATTTTAATGTAATTGAAATTTTGAAATATTTTTTAAGTGTCTTATTTTCTTCTATAGTCAAATTATTATAAAAATAAATAAATCATTATTTTACTGGCAAAAATATTTAATCATTTATTATTGTACGGAACGACTCCCAACATGGCAAAAAGCAGAGTGGTACTTGACATATCTTGCATTCGAAGTATGTTCTAACTTCTAATCTTCTCTCGTACTGCAAAAACGGCATCTCCTGAGCCCTTTTTACTTTGATGCTGACCAGGGCTTGAGAGCCGAATTTCATGAAGTATTCTAAAGCCGAATTTCATCAAAAATTCCTTTTTCTTTATAAAATTGCCTGGCTTATGTTTTCTTTGTGAATATCTGAAAAAGTATATTTTTCAATATGTAAAATGTTGCAATGTGTATTATGAAGTAAATTTAGACATTATTTCAGGTAGAAAATTTTAGAAACCCATTTATTAGTGCTCTTGCCAGACATGGTCGAACACCACTATGGATGTTGTCTCTCTGTCTAGTTTGGCAGTATAGAATGTATGCATTAATGATAGATAGCACTTTCAAACATAAACCAAAATAGACGTAGCCATTTTTTTCTCGATTTTCTTCCAATATGATAGGAGCTGTGAAAGTGATCAAATTTATCAACTCCGCCCATATGTTGAGTATATGTAGTTATTGCAGGGCTGAACATGTTTTTTCAGTTTGCCATGACATGACCATGACAGAAACTTCAGATGGATTTACTGCAGTTGACAAAATATGGACATCTTTTGTATAGTGCCATTTTATATATCCAATTGGAGAATCATAGCAGTAAGTAAACTCACCAGGAGTGAGCTAAATCAGTTCTTTTTTCTTCATTTTCATCTCTTCACTGTCCCCTGGTTTTTTTGAAGTGAATTCTTCTGGCATTCCTTTTCTTGTTAATCGCACTGTGCCAATACTGTAAATGTTTCTTTCATGTACAACCTCCATTAGTGAAGAAGTTATCAAACACAACTAATGAGCCAGCAGGTGCAGTTTTAGTTAGTTTCAAAACAACTTTGTATCCCCGACCTTCACTTGGAGCCCCTGACCTGTCCTTTCCTGTAAATAAATATCAAATAAAATATCATGAACTAGTCAAAATAGTTTATTTTTGAAGAAATCAGAATTTTTTTAGGCAAACATATTCTATTTACCAGTATAGATATAAAACTGATAGAGATATCCAGATTTTGAGTCACAACGACACTAAACTTTATACCCATGTTTTATGGGTTTCAATGGCATGTATTGTTTTTTGCTATCTCTAGCCTTGAACTTGACCATACTTTCATCAATCGATTGATGATGAGAGTTTTCAGCACATTGTTGAAAGGTTCGGTTTAGAATGGATACAGCAGGTCTTATTTTTTCTAGTTTGTCATATTGTGGGTGAGTTTTTGGAAGCACTTGGGATATATCACTGACATGAAAATTCTCTAAAATGTTCTTGAACCTTTTCAATGGCATGATGATGCTTATTTCCTGATTGTTATAAAATCTATCTGAAAACCAATACAATTCAAAGTCTGATAATGGATTCAATCCCATTAGTATAAATATCCCCAAAATAGCACTTATTTCTTCTGTAGTAATGTTAGTCCAAAATTTTGATTGTTTATGTTGCGCATATTTGTTGGTATTCATTACAAGTAATTCAAGCAATTCCTCTGGAAACAACTTGGAGAAATAATGAACAGGTACACCTGCTATTTGATCCAAAGCTGCATTTCAGATCCTTATCAAATGTATGTTCTGTAAAATTAGACACATTTGTGGACCATTGATGCTGTTTCTTTTGCAATATACTGTAGAGATGTAACGGCTTGCTGTAATATTCTTGATCATCATCATCCATATTTTCAATAGGCATAACCAGCTGATCTACTAGAGGTTCATAATTTGTATCTGATTGGTTGTACTGTATAATAGTTCAACACTGTCACCGTTGGTTCTGGGGAAGGATCTACTGGAGTTTCACTTGTGTCTGCTCGGTGCATAACAGTAACTGACATGGATTCTTCTGGAGAATCATTGTTACTGGGGGATTCCAACAGCTCAGAATATGTCATACCTTGAATGCTATCTAAAACTGAATTGATATCTAAGGATAGATCAGTCTCATTAAACATGTAATTATCAGTTTCCTCCTAATCTTCCGAAGAGTCACACAATATATGTAACTCCTTGACTATATCCTCTTCGCAAATGCCTTTTCTGGTCATTCAAGCCTGGAAAAGTGACAAAAACAATATTTATTATGAATACCACTAACTAAACGGAACATATTTCCAAGAATCAAAGACAGTTGACTGTAACATTATTCGTTAAAATTTGTATGCGCTTACAAAGTCACATTTCCAATTAATAATATATAAAATACCACGACTCACTTGTTCTTATTTTCTAAATAGACTTTTTATTGCACAGCCATAGATTAGATTACTGATTACTTTTGTGCTGTTGTAGACATGTGTCAATCATGCAAGATTCGTTCGTTTGAGCTGGTACACTTAAAAGTATTGATGGTTCATTCATTTGTTTTTGAATGTACCAGTACAACCAATCACAAACAATTGACGGTACGTTTTTAACCCGTGATTTGTTTGAATTGTGAATGAGCCGCAAACCGACCGAATCCTGAATGATCTGAATAAACAGGCGAATTGAATTAACAGTGCAGACTGCAGAGCATGGAGTAGAGTAGAGTAATATATACACAGAACACCATTACCCCTAGCGGAGAATATATAGGGAAACTGCAGAGTAACAGGAGTATTTATTATTTAAGGGTTTTTTTTATTATAATATTGTTACCTAAATTAAAAACTATTTTACGTTTTCTTATATTTATTTGTTAAATCTATGAGTTAAAAATATAATTCCTTAGAGTTTACTAAAAATAACACTTCAAAAGATTTCATGATAAATGATTTATTTAAAGATAATTTTCAACCATCTTATATAAGTATAAGTTAGGTAAAAGTTTAATTTCGTAGCAAATAAATGTTACAGTCCCTATTTTTAGACATGTAAAGTAAGATGAAATTGTGTATTGTTAGATTATTAGGAATGAAATTTAAGAATAAACAAATTTATTAAATACTTAAAATATACGATAACTTGAGGTTTTTGTGTTTGTCATCTAGCGTCGATTGTTCTTACCAGCTTGAAAGTTAATAAGTTTTAGTTCGATAAAATAACTTTATTACCTATAACATGTAGTAGATGGCGCTATTACAAATCTCAAATAGAAAATTTTCGGTTCCCAATGGATCTCACAGACTCACAGGGTACAGGAGCCTGAAATGATCCATTTGAATGATCGATCCGAATGTACCAGTACGCGTGACGAAATGTACTAGAATGATTCGGTCGCTAGTAATGAGTGATTTACACATGTCTATGCTGTTGTCACAGACACAGAGTACATTATATATACCTGGAAGCTGTTGTGCACAGATAGTCAGTAATCTATGCACAGCACTGAAAATGAAATACTAATGACAAAGACCAGTGTTGGGAAATAGTTGGTGCGAAATTATGGTGTTGCCAAGCTAGAAAATATTGTATTTTGAGTAGAATTATTGCATTTTTTTGCTAAAGATTTTTTTATTTATTTACATACATACATACATATAATCACGCCTCTTTCCCGTAGGGGTAGGCAGAGACCACTTCTTTCCACTTGCTACGATCCTTACATACTTGTTTCGCTTCGTCTACTTTCATTATTCCCTTCATACATGCTCTACGGTTTAGGGTACTCTTAACCTGGCCTTTTTTCAAGACTCCTAATTTGGTCTAGAAAAGTCCGCCTAAGTCTACCCCTTCCAGCACTTCCATTCACACTCGCCTTATACACTTTTTTCGTCAATCGTTCTTCATTCATTCTCTCGATGTGGCCAAACCATCTCAGCATACCTTTCTCAATTTTTGTCACTACATCTTCTTTCAGACCACAACGTTTCCTTATCTCACTATTTCTTATCCTGTCACTCAGTTTAACTCCTATCATACTTCTTAATGCTCTCATCTCAACTGCATTTATTCTACTTTCATGTTTCTTCTGCCATACCCAACTTTCACTTCCGTACATGAGTGTCGGAACCAACACCCCCTCATGCACAGCCAAACGAGCCTTGTTAGACACTTTCCGACTGCTCATAAAGGAGTGCAAAGCTCCATTCACCATGTTTCCTGCATTCACTCTTCTTTCGATATCACTCTCACACTTTCCATCTCTTGTAAACTTTGACCCCAGATACACAAACTCTTTCACCTGTTCAATTTGTTCATCTTCAATCACGATATTGCAGTCTGTCACTGCCTCATCTTTTTCAAACACCATCACTTTCGTCTTCTTTACATTCATCTTCATTCCCTTTCTAACAAAAGCTCCACTCATAGCAGTTACCATCTCCTGCAACTCCTCGGCCGAAGACGCAAGTAATACTTGGTCATCAGCATAGAGAAAACATTTGACGAGTAACTCATTCATTCTCAAACCACTTTCATTCTCTTTTAAATCTGTACAATGTTGAACAAAAACACCACACATCCCTGTCTAACACCTTTTTCGATATTAAACCATTCAGTGTATGCCCCGTTTATCCTTACACAAGCACTAGAATCCCTATAAAGAGATTGCAATGCTCGTATGAGGACACTGCTCACACCGTTCATGGACAGTGCTGACCACAATTCATTCCTCACCACTCTATCATAGGCCTTTTCTAGATCTACGAAGGCGCAGTAGACTTTCTTGTTTTTAGCCAAACACTTTTCGGCTATGCACCGCAAGGAAAAGACCTGATCCGTACATCCCATTCCCTTTCTAAATCCCGCTTGTGCATCCCATATTTTCTCGTCTGTTTCATTCACAACCCTTTCAATCAACACTTTATACCACGGTAATTTATGCAGTCCTGCCGTGACCCTTTTCCCTTATACAATGGCACGATTACGGCTTTGCACCAGTCTCCCGGCACTTGCCCATTTCGCCAGCACAGATTGAAAAGGCGGTACAGCTGACTAGCCACCAGGCCCTGTCCAGCCCTCAGCATCTCGACGGTAATCCTGTCATACCCTGCAGCCTTACCTAATCTCATACTTTTCAACGCTTTCACTATTTCATCCATGCATCCATAAATGAGATAACATTTTCATCAACATTTATATTCGTTTCCGTGGAAGGTGGCAGATGCTGTACCTGCACTTCCTCTCTTTCAAACAGACTTTCAAAATACTCTTTCCATCTCTTTAACACACATTCTTCTCCTTTTATAATGCTCCCATCTTGACTCCTGATTGTACTCAGCTCCGAGGTAGAAGTTTTTCCTCTGGCTGTTTTGATGGTTTTCCAGAAAAACTTAATGTTTGACTAGAAATCTTCAGTGAGCCTCCTATCGAAATCATCTTTTAGTTCTTCTTTCTTTCTAGACACAGTTTCTTTCGCTGCTGTTTTCAATCTTTTATACTTCGTTCTTGCTTCCTTTATCTCGTCATCCGTTGCCTTTTGAACTTTTTGGTTAGCTTTTGTTGCTAACCAATCCAACCACGCTTTCTTCTTTTCTTGCACAACCCTTTGTACATCTTTATCCATCCACACGTTATCATTCTTTCTCCCTTTCCTTCTTTTAGCTACCCCGCATACCTCAATCGCAACATTTACAACCCCTTTCTTAAATGTCTCCCACAAATCTTCAATCACTCCTATCTCTTCTATCCCTTTAAAACTTTCTTTCAGTTTCTCTACATACTCGTCTTTCTTTTCTTGTAGATTTTCCACTTTTACTCTATCCAAGACACTCGTAGGCTCGGCCCTTCGGTGTCACCACCGTTTAAAGAGGCCACGCATTCGGGCTATGACCAGGAAGTGGTCTGTGTCGAGGCCTACACCGCGGTATGCCCGAGTGTCTAGCACTTTCTTCTTCAGTCTTTCATCCACAATTACAAAATCAATCATACTTCTAGACTCACCCTCATCTCTTGTATACAGATGGATCTTTTTGTGGTCAAACACTGTGTTGGTCACGCACAGATTCCATTCCAAGCATACTTCAAGCAGGCTTCTCCCATTGTCATTCACTCTCTCGTCCCCAAACATACCCAGAACTCCTTCATTCCCATCACGCTTTACTCCAACCCATCCATTAAAGTCCCCTAACATCACGATCCGTTCATTCTCTCCGCATTTATTCAATACCTCTCTCATGCTATCCCAAAATTCCTCTCTCTCTTGTTGTGATTTTAGTGACCCACCTCCACGCAGATCTGTCGGTGCATAGATTCCGAGGATAAACAAGCGGGTGAGTCCGACTTTTAACCTAATCCAGAGGAGTCTTGGGCTTACACATTCATGCTCCATCACACATTCAACCATTCGAGATGAAAGAATCACACCAACTCCCTGACAGCCTCGGCTGGTTTGGGGGACTCCCGACCAGTATGCCGTGTAGGGGCCATGAACCGTGGTGTCACATCCTTTCCTCTTGGTTTCGTTCACGCACAGAATATCAATGCAACGTTCATCCATCATCTGACATACTCCATCTACCTTACCATCCATCCCTCCTCTTACATTCAACGTAGCGAAGCGGCTCTCCATGGGCCGCTTTTCGCCCCCTCGAGAAACGAGACGTGATGGGTGGCGAACCACATCGCCGCCATTTTGGTTAATTTTTTGATTATCCATTGCGTTCCCACGAATAGCGAAGGAAAGGTTTGTCCCCCCCCAGCAGAGCCCCGCATGCCAGGGTAAGGCTAGCCTAATTTTGGGGTCGCCCGGTCCCAGGGCAGTGTGGCACGCTAACGACTAGGCTCGCCCCTAGCCATGCATCCATCCGCGCGGCCGAC